AAGCCACTGAAACCCATAGTCATTCAGTGATTTGACTTACCAAGTAAGCATGCATGACATTGCTATTTTATGGCAACCAGAAGCAATGGTGGCATGCATCTTTCATAAACACTATTTTTAAAATTAGCTTAAAAAACATTCATCAAATGGAGATATTAGCAACTAAGAAACTAAACAACTCGCAAATAAAGAAGCAGATTTTTTAATTCAGCATACAACATTACACATAATACAGAAAATCTGTCAGTTCCTCTTTGGAACAGAAACCTGACACATAAAACACCACATCCTGTATTAAAAATAAATGTGCAGCTTATTAGTAATGACATGATACTACTTGTTTTCCTGAATCCTATCTGTTGCTATCTCTGAAAACTTTCCAGTCTTAGCACTAATTTCTCCATTTATAATCATTATAATCAACATATTAACATATATATCTTATCTTAAAACCACACTAAACAAACAAAATAACACACCAACCCCCTTCAGCTACTGTCCCACTTTTTTTTGTTCCCTTTCCCAGGAAAACTGCTCATTCACATGTACACCTCCCCAACTTTCCAATATCATAATTTTGGTTAAGTGGGTGTTTTGGAATTAACATTATGTTGACTCCTGTAAATGCAATTCACAGCCCAGCCATGTAGTCCTATACTGTATTTATGTTCCCCTTCTACAGTCAGTGTTGTTGTTTTATTGTTTAACTATCTTTGTGCATACTTATTACCAATTTAGCCACAAATTTCACCCTAAATCTACTCTTTATATCCTCGAACACATTATATTCTAATGATCTTACCTTCTCACAACTCTTTATCTTGGAACCTTTTACTCCATTCACACTGGGACTAGGTGTTATCTACTATACCTGGAGATCAGTTGTCATTTTGGCATCACTATTCAGCATCGTCCTGGTAATTCACTAGGTCTCTAGTTAAGGTACATGCCCTGTTTCTTGTAACTTAGGCCTTCACCTTTTTAGTTTACTTTTTATTCTCGTTGAGTAACTCCTTTAATAATGACCTGAAAACGGGGACATGGCAGGTACATTTTCTGAGACCTCACAAGTCTGAAACTGTCAATAATGTGTATGTAACCTAGAGTTCAGTTAGAACTATAATCCCAGTGATTCAGGAAGTTGAGGCAGGAGGATCCCAAGTTCAAGACCAGCCTCAGCAAAATTAGGCCCTAAGCAACTTAGTGAGACCCTATGTCAAAATTAAACAAACAAAAAAAGGATGAGGATGTAGCTCAGTGGTAAAGCACCCCGGGTTCAATCCCCAATACCCCCTAACCCCCCAAAAAAGAGTTTAGCTGTACACTACATGCTGGGTAAGAATAATTTTTCCTTCAGCATTTTGAAAATTCCAGTATGGTGCCAAGAAACCTAAAGTCATTCTGAGTACTAATTCTTTATATGTGACCTATTAGTTCTTCCACCCTGGAATCCACCCTGTGTTTAAAATTTATAGTGACGTGTCCCATTTGAATTTATTTTTATATTTCAATAGGTACTTTCTAATGAAAAATTCATGACCTCTTGTTCTGGAGTTTTCTTGAATCATTCTCTATTCTTTTTCTCCTCAATTTCCTCTATCCTGTGTTTCTGGAAATCCTATTATTTGAATGTTAGAGATCCTAGTTACATTGTATCACATCCTCTCTCCCACTTTTATCTCTTTTTCCTCTTTGCTTTAACATACCAGTTTCATTCCTCAACCTTTCCACTGAGTTTTTTTTTAAATTTCTAATTTCACTTCTCTTTGTTTCTATTTCATATTTCCTAGATGCAGAATCTACTTTAACCTTTCTGAAACTATTAAATGGTAGGCTTATGTTTCTCTTAATTTCACTTTCCTATCTGGTCTCCATTTCCCCCAACTTGGTATTCTCTCTTTTGTTTTGACCTTTGTCTCTCACTTAAGAGGTTTTTCTCAGATATCTAGTGATCTTTGGCCACAGGTTCGAATTTGGGGGAGGGAGCACTAGAAAGACCACTGGAAGCTTTGTCTTAAGGATTCTTGACTGTGAACTTTACTTTGGAGATAGAAGTTGGACTATATCTCTGGGGGAACTCTCAATGTAATTATCTTCAGACCTTTTCTCTCAGGCCAGTTACAATGTACAGAAAAGCATATTCTCCACTCTTGCTTGAAGTGTATAAATACCCGTTAGCCTGGGTTCTTAAATCCCCTGTTTTCAAAATCTTATTCCCATTCTCAGCTATGTTTGTTGTTTATTTTATCCTTGATAGAGCATAAATATCCATAATTCTGCTAAATCACAGAAGGGGCAGTTGTCTGTTTCAGAGATAAGAGCGAGCTATGGAATACAATGTCCTCTTAAAAAGATTTGCAACCCTCAATCCTTTTTTCAGAACATTGCTTTCAATTTACAAAAATATTTTGAGGTTTTATTCTGCCAAGAAGTTTGTTTCTCGGCTTTCCCATAGCTGCTTACAACTCTTAATTCTGCAGGAAAATAACTACATTTTCTTTTGCTTTTCAGGTTTTGACATTTTGTTGCCATTGTTTTCTTTCCTATTCTCCCTATCCTGTGAGGCTACATTATTTGGGAAATCCTTTTACATTATTTACTTTTAATGAAGTTTCAAAAATAGGTGAAGTTTAATCATATTGTTTGCCATCTCAAAATGGAGGTTTCCCATTCTTGCTCTTCATGGACTTTCATTCCTACCCCTCTGATGAGATTACTCACTCTTCATCAGAAACATTCATAGTGGCAAATCTAATTGCTGTTTTACTGTACTCACCATTTGACCTCTTGGTAGCTGTGATTTATTAAATATTTTCTCTTCTTGGTTTCTGGGACAGAACATTTTCCTGTTTTCCCATTCATTTTAATGTTTGCTCCTTCTCCTACAATTAATATTGGCACAAGCCAGGGTCGAATACTTTTCAATCTGTCTACACTTCCTAAATAATTTAATCTAGTCATTTGACTTTGAGTACTTCTATATGCAAATGATTTCCAAATCTATGATCTCAGACCAGATTTTCAACTGCAGTCATATATACAACACTGTATTTTGACACATCTACAGAAATGTCAAAGGCATCCAAAACACTATTTAGCCAAATCAGAACATTTGATACGACTGTAAATTTGCTTCTCTCCCAATTTTCTTTTTCATCTTGACCTCCATTTACTCTCCTCATCACATAACTATACTGCAGCCACATGTGCACTGTTGCTTAAGCATCCTACATTCAGTCACTTTTGTTCCCACTGCCAGTAAAGCTCTTTTCTCAGATCTGCACATGTTACCTTGTTATTCCAATCTCTACTAAAATGACTCCACTCAATACATCCTTCTTGGACTACCTAAAGGGAGCAATCATCAGTTTCTACCACATTATACACGTTAATTATCTGCACAGTACTAATCACAAAACATTTGTCATCCTCTAGAAAGCAATCTTCATAAAAGCAGGGGTGGCTTCTGGGTGTTACCTATTGTATACTCATTATCTAAAATAATATCTGAATATAAGTAACGATAGATGTTGGCAAGGATGTGGGGTCAAAGAGTTCACTCATAGATTGCTGGCCGGACTGCAAACTGGTGCAACCACTCTGGAAAGCAGTATGGAGATTCCTCAGAAAACTTAAAATGGAACCACCATTTGACTCAGCTATTCCACTCCTCAGTATATACCCAATGGACTTAAAATCAGCATACTAGGTGTCTCAGCCACATCAATGTTTATAGCAGCTCAATTCACAATAGCTATGCTATAGAGCCAACCTAGGTGTCCTTTAACGCATGAATGAATTTAAAAAATGTGGTATACATATACAATGAAATATTACTCAGTCATAAAGAAGAATGAAATTGTGGCATTTGCCAGTAAATGGATGATCTGGAGACTATCATATTAAGTGAAATAAGCCAATTCCAAAACACCAAAGGTCAAATGTTCTTTCTGATGTGCAGATGCTAACACACAATAAGCGGAGGAAGGAAAATAGAAGTTCATTGGATTAGACAAAGGGGAATAAAGGGAAGGGAGGGGGAATAAGAATAGGAAAGACAGTAGAATGAATCAGACATAATTTTCCTATGTTCATAAATGAATACATGACCAGTGTAACTCTACATCATGTACAACCATAAGAATGGGAGACTAATTAGAGTAAATTATATGCCATGTTATGGTATGGATGTGAGGTGTCCCCCAAAAGCTCATGTGTGAGACAATGCAAGAAGGTTTAGAGGAGAAATGATTGGGCTGTGAGAGCCTTAACCCGATCAGTGAATTAATATCTGCATAAGATTAACTGGTAACTGAAGGTAGGTAGGGTGTAGCTGGAGGAGTTAGGGCACTGGGGGCATGGCTTTGGGATATATATTTGTATTAGGCAAGGGGAGATCTATCTTTGCTTCCTGAGCTGCTTCCCTCTGCCACACTCTTCTGCCATGATATTCAGCCTCACCTCAAGCCCCAAGGAATGCAGCCACCCTCCGACAGACTAAGACCTTTGAAACAATGAGCCCTCAAATTTTTCTTTCTTTACAACTGTTCTAGTCAGTTCTTTAATTACAGCAGTGAAAAAGATGACTAAAACACTCCACATACGTATGTCAAAATATACTCTTTTGGGCTGGGGTTGTAGCTCAGCAGCAGAGCATTAAGTTAGCATGTGTGAGGCACTGGATTCAATTCTCAGCACCATATATAAATAAAATAAAGATCCACTGACAACTAAAAAATAAAAATTTAAAAAATATACTCTACTGTTATATATATCTAAAAAGAACAAATAAAAATTAAGTAATATCTGGACAGAACTACACCTAACATCCATACCATAAACTACAAATGTTTTTTGATAAATTAACATAAAAAGACAAATTTTTAAACAAACCCTTTCTAAAAGTAGTGTATGAAAATATTCATGGATTATTTTATTTATTTATTTTTTTACTGGAAAAATGTCATTCAGTGATGCATTATAAGATGCACCTCCTTTACCTTTTGTACTTTGGGGATCTTTTGAACTGATTCTTCAGAAAACTATAAGTTCAAGGATTCTTCTATATGACCATCAGCCTCAAAATTCTGTTTAAACAAGAAAAAAAAAGGTCAGATTTATTCAAATTATATAGATTGTTTTCATGAAAATGGTTTTAAATAGTTTTAAACACAACAAAATTAAAACTGTTTAAAAAAATGCAAAAAATTTTTCAAGTTCTACAAATTATTTCTAAACGGAAAAAAACCCTTAAAATCATGAATAAATAAATCATTTCAAATTCCAGAATAGAAGTTAAAATACAAAATGTATTAATAAATAGACAATATAAATGGACACAATTTGTGACATCCGTAAGTTAAACATAAAGTTTTTGTATGCAATATAAGTTATTAGCTTAAGATAGATCATTATGCTTTTAAAAGCCCCATGATAACCATAAAATATTGATAGTATACAAAAAAAATGAGAATGAAAGTATAACAATACCAAAAAAAAAATCAATAAAATGCAAAGGAAGACAGCACAAAGGAAAAAGGGACAAAAGAGTCCTCCCTATCAGTAATAAGCTCTTCCCTATCAGTAACCACTTTTAATTTAAGGACATACATATACAGAAAGAGAAAGGATGGAACGAGATATTCCAGTCAAATAGAAACCAAAAGAAAGCATAAGTGGCTGACTCAAGTAATACAAAACAGACTTCAACTGAAAACTTTCACAACACACTTAGCAGGACAATAAAACAGGCAAACCCCAGTACCAGCTACTTGGGAGGCTCAGGCAAGAGGATAGCAAGTTCAAGATCAGCCTGGGCAACTTAATGAGACCCTATCTCCCCTGCCCCGCCCCCCCCCCAAAAGCTAGTCATGTGGCTCTCTGTTAGTTTGGCTCAGTGGTAAAGTGTCCCTGGTTTCAATCCCTAGTGCCACAAATAAGCAATTTTTAATAATAAAGAAGAACTAATGTCAATGTTACTCAAATTATTCCATGAACTAGAAAGAGAGGGCACTTTCAACTTCATTTTATGAAGCCAGCATCATCCTAATAACCCAAACAAATGAGGTCATGTCAAGGAAAGCAAACTAATGAATAATATCCCTGGTGAACATAGATGCAAAAAATCCTTATTAAAATGTTAGCAAATTGTCAAAAATACATTAAGAAGTCATACCTCATGATCTTGTAGGATTTATTCTGGAGATACAAGGATGGTTCAACATATGCCAATCAATAAATATAATTCATCATATAAACTCATGGGGGGAAAAAATCACAGATCATCTTGACAAGATACAGAAAAGGCCTTTTAGAAAAATCAGTACCCAAGCCTGATAAAAACACTGAAGAAACTAGGCAAAGAAGGAACTTATCTCAACATCAAAAAGACTTACATATGACAAAGCCAAAATCATACTAAATGGGGAAAAACTGAAATAATTTCCTTCAAATAAGAACATCCATTCTCACCACTCCTATTCAATACAGTTCCTAAAATTTTAGAGCAATTGAGCAAGGGATACAATAGGAAAGAAAGTCAAATTATCCCTGTTTGCAGATGGTATAATCCTATACTTATAATCCTATATAATTCCCAAAAGCTCCACCAGAAGACTTCTAGAATTGATAAACAAATTTAGCAAAAATAGCAGGATACAATATCTACATCCAGAGCCAGGCGCAGTGGCACATGCCTGTAATCCCAGCGGCTTCAGAAGCTAAAACAGGAGGATCTTGAGTTCAAAGCCAGCCTCAACAATGGCAAGGCGCTAAGCAACTAACTCAGTGAGACCCTGTTTCTAAATAAAATACAAAATAGGGCTGAGCATGTGGCTCAGTGCTTCAACCTGAGTTCAATCCAAAAAAAAAAAAAAAAGACCCACATCCAAAAAATTGATAGGTTTTCTTCATACTAATAATGAATCCACACTGAAAAAGAAATCAAGAAAACAACTCCAATCATAACAGGTACAAAAAGAAATATTTTTACACTGTCTCTAACCAAGGAGGTGAAAGACCTCTATAATGAAAATTATAAAGCACTTAAGAAAGAAGAAAACACTAGAAGATAAAAGGTCCACCCATGTTCTTGCATATGCAGAATTAATGTTATTGAAATAGTCATATTACCAAAGCATCTACTGATTCAATCCAATCCCCACCTACCAAAATACCCATGATATTCTTCAGAGAAAAAGAAAAACTGGTCCTAGTGATAGCCTTTTTAACAAATGGTGCTAGAGAACTGGGCATCCACAAGTAGAAGATGAAACTAGATTAGTATCTTTTACCCTGCACCAAAATCAACCCAAAGTATATCAAAGACCTAGAGATTAAGAGCAAAAAATTGGTAACTGCTAGAAGAAAACATAGGGTCAACATTCCAACCTACAGGCATAGGCAATGACTTCCTCAATAGGACTCCTAAAACACAGGAACTATATGTAGAATTAATGTAATGCATCAAACTTAAAAGCTTTTACAGAGGAAAGGGAACGAAGTACAAAGAGAGCCTACAGAAAGGGAGAAAATCTTAACTAGCTACCCTTCTCACAGAGGATTAATATCCAGAATATATAAGAACTCAAAAACAAAAAAATAAAAAACCCAATCAATAAATGAGCAAATGAACTGAATGACATATCTCAAAAAGTACAATGACTGTTTGCTTTCCCACAACTTAGATCAACATGCCCTGGAGTAGGGAGGCTTCCTGATTCCTGTTGCAACGTATGAATTATTTTCCTTTCTCCTCTCTCTAATGGCCAACAAATATATGAAAAAATTTGTTCAACATCTTTAGCAATTAGGGAAAGCAAATCAAAATTACAGTGAGATTTTATCTCACTCCAGGTAGAATGGCAAACATGAAGAATACAAATAAATACTAAATACTGAGAGGATGTGGGGATAAGAATACACCTATGTACTGTTGGTGGGACTGTAAATGGGGACAACCACTATGGAAATCAGTAAGGAGGTTTCTCAAAAGACTGGGAATGGGACCACCATATGACCCAGCTATACCACTCTTCGGTATTTATCCAAAAGAACTTAAAGCAGCATACAATAGTGATATATGTATACCCATGCTTACAGCAGCACAATTCACAATACCCAAGTGATGGAATACACCTAGGTGTTTGTCAACAGATGAATGAATAAAGACAATGTGGCATATATACAGACTGTGGAGTTTTATTCAGCATAAAGAAGAATGCAATTAGGTCATCTACAGGAAAATAGATGGAACTGGAGATCATCATGTTAAGTGAAATTAAGCCAGACTCAGAAAACCAAGGGTTGTATGTCTCCTCTCATATGTGGAAGCAAGAAAGAATAAAAGGAAGAAAAAAAAGTAGGGGAAATCTCATGAAAATAGAAGGGAGATGGAACAGAGGAAGTTGACAAGGGGAAGGGAGGGTGGGAGTGAAACAGGATGTGCTTAAGAATGAAACTGACCAAATATACTGTTATAATGTGTGCACTTACACATCTATAGCAATGAATTCCACTATTATATATAATCACAAAGCACCAATAATAAATCTGCCTTTCATAGACCTCTCCCCCTTAGACATTTGCAATAATTTGCCTAAAACAAATTCTGTTGTGCTCTATATTCTTTTTATATCAATTACCAGAAGTCTAAGACTTCCAGGTCATTCCTCCATACACTCTGTATATCCCCCACTCCACTGATGCCTGTTCCCTTCCTTCCTCATTTCCAAAATCATTTCTCTATGTCCTCTGAAACTTACAGTATATCATCATCAAAATGTCCTGTTTCCTCAATAATGTTCCTCATTTTTATAACACCAAATGAAACCTCAGTCTCCTCTAAGGATTCTGCTCTATCTACAGAGCTTTGAAATAATGACTGTTTGCTTTTCCACAACTCAGATTCAACATGCCTTGGAGTAGGGAAGCTTTCTTATTCCTATTGTCGTGTATGAATTATTTTCCTTTCTCCTCTCTCTAAAATCCCAGCTTTGAATCTACTATCCCCTTCTTCTTGTAGCTATTCACAAATTCCCAGGACAAGTCCTCTCATTCCCTAAAGAGTTTTACCCTTCTCAATTTTCAACGAATATAAAATAATTCAGTTTCCTGAACTCTTGTGCAACAATTTTGTGCTCTTCCTATCTCCCACTCACTCCACTATTATTCTGGAAGTCACTATTACCAATAATGATCCACCCTGCCCGCCTATATTCTCTATGTCAAGTACCTTATCCCTTTCTCTTATAAGCTAGGATAACGTGATCCCTGATGCAAGCAGACAAAAACATACCTTTTTTAAAAAAAGGCAACATAGCTCTAATTTGTTTATGTTACGATGGAGGCAGCGGAGGAGAGCAGGAGAAAGAGAAAGAGGGAGAGGAGGAGAAAGAGGAGGAGGAGGAGGAGGAGGAAAGGAAGGAGAAGAAGGAGAAAGAAGAAAGAAGAAAATTATCCCAGCTCACAAATTTTTGCCTGTCCTTCAGTTTCACATCCTAGTAAAGACCCAAAGGAGCAAGGTAAGTTACTGGAGATTGTCAGGAAAATCAAACACAGTGGCAGTCTAGTTGGTCAAGTTGTTCAACAACCTCTATCAGAAATGCTTCATTCTTGTTCATATTTGTCTAAGCTCTGTTCTTTCTTTTTTGCTAGAGTTCTTTCCACATTTATCATGTAGACAAGATATTTTAGGAGCTATTTATGACTACGACTCAAATATAGCTCAAGTAGTGCTAACAATAAAAACTTAGGGATCCCAATTTACAGTATTTACAACATGTGCACACAACACAAAATGAGGAACTTGTTGAACTGAAACCAAGGTTTCTGAAGATTGTTTTGCCACATCACAGAATACCAAAATTCCTTTCTAGCTTTAATCTATGTCTTCAGTTTCATCCCCATTCTATCCTCACGGTACACCCATACTTCCTATTCTCCAGCTACACTAGACTTCTTACCATTCCTGTGAAATAGAAAACAAAGATCCTTGGGTAACTAAAGATCTGCCCATCAATGCCCAAGATACTATCAGCACAAATGTCTTTTTCATATAATAAACTAGAATTATCTTCACAGAAAATCA